TTCCACCAGGTGAGCATCCATGTGGCTGGGACAGGAGGGGTCTGGACGCCCCTGCCCTGTCCCCAGAGCTCTGGGGGTGATGTTGGGACCATGTGGGGCTCCTCAACCCAGGGGTTGGGATGGGGACAGGGTCTCTCTGATGGGGACAAGGTCCCTCTGATGTCCCCATCCCTGCAGCAGGAACCCCTACGCGGCGCTGGTGACCAGCCTGAGGGCAACCTGGCTCTCGGGGAAGACACGGCCCATGGAATTCCGGGTGGCCCAACTGGAAGCCCTGGGACACTTCTTGGATGAGAAGAAGCAGGAGATCCTGGAGGCCACCGCCTTGGACATGGGCAAGGTGAGGTGGGGTGGGAGAGGGGGGCTGGGACCAGGGGGGACACAGAGGCTGGAGGGGCCGAGGGGCTGCCCACGGCCCTGCCGGCTCCTGGTGTCACACAGAGGGTTGAGGTGGTGCCCCAATGGAGCTTCATCACCATCACGGTCCCCACGGTGAGCTCAGGGCCAGGGGACGTGGGTGGAAGCAGCGAAAATGAAACCCAGCTGGAGCTTTTCCTGTCCCACCTCCTCCAGAGCTGTCCTTAACCTCGGGGTGGGCAGAGGGGGGACTGTGAGGGGCGTCTGGGCATAATTAGCCATTCTCCAACCCATCAGCCTCAGTTCTTCTCGCCAGGTCCATCCTTGGCTCCTGTCACCCCCCCTCCGTGTGCTCCCTGCCTTGGGCTTTCCACCAAATGTCCCCTCCTCTCTCTGGGTGCTCACCCAGGTCCAGCTCAGGGCCAGGACCCCCCCACTTTGCATCATCCCCTCCCTCTCTGCTCCTTCCCTCACACCTACATCAGGGTCACCAAGAGCAGAGGCAGAGCAGACCTGTCCCCTGCATCTCCATAAGTCCCCAAAGAGACTTCTCCCCACATGAGATGTCCCCCTCCAGCCCCACCAGCTCCACAGTTTCCCCTTGGTCCAGCTCATCTGCCCACAACCAGAGCCTCACGCAGGACTCATCATCTCCTCTTTTCCATCCTAGTTGAGAACTTCCCTTTGGGCACCTTCCCCATCCTTACCGCCCTCCAGATCGAGGGGATCCACATATTTTCCTTATTTTTAAGCAGCCAGATCCAGCGCCGAGAGGAGACCCTCGTCCCGTCAGGGAGAGGTGTCCTGGGTTTCACCCCGTTCCCCATCTGCTCCTCCACCCTTGGGTGCTCCTCCTCTCCTTGTGGTGGCCTGGGCTGTAGCTGGTGGCCATTGGCATGAAGGTCTTGCCCATCCACCCTTCCACATGAGATAAGAAAACCATCGGAGGCTCCCGACTGCTCTCACCCAAGGGCCAAATCCAGGTGGAAGCCTCTGCTGATAAGCCCAAGACAATGCAGTGCTAAATCTGGGATTTCACATCTTGGTTAGCCCAAAAATTAACCATTTCACAGTAGCAAAGTCATAAATTTATAGTTTTTTCTTTAATTCCTTGGTTTCCTCTTCACCTGCCCACCCCAAGCCCAGGTTGGCAGCACCTCTCTGAGGCTTGTCCCCAAGCCCCCGGTGATAACTAGGGCTTAATGAACCCCCACAGCTTGTTCGTGGACCCAGGGATGGAGCATTGTGTGACACACGGGTGCGTCCAGCCCAGGCTCACTGGAGGATGCTCAGAAACAGACCAAATACACACAATACTCCCAAATATTTGTTGGGAGCAAGGGGGCTGCCTCTCCATCCATGGTGAGAGCCCTCTGAGGGCTCCGTGCTCGCTGCCGTGACACTGGGGGTGGCCCCAGGCCACCCAGCAAGGTGAGCAGCCCCATCATGATGCTTCCATGACTCCTGGGAAAAGGAAAAATGAGATCCCTCAAACATCTACTGCAGCTCCCATCCCCAGAGAGCAATTTGTGCTCCCACACGAGGCCATCAGAGTGTCCTCCTGCCTGTGGTTCACCCAGTCTCTTCTTGGGGACACGCTGGACACCTCCTGCGACACGTTCCATGGGCGCTGGGTCTCTGCTTCTTCTTTTCTTCCACTCTGTGGTGAGGTACCAGGCTTGGTTTGTTCTGGTGTCACCTTGGAAAGCCCCCCCCATGGGGCTCAGCATCCCCTGCCACCAGCCCACCCAAAGCCACCCCATTGGCCCCAACGGCCACCGCAGCGGGCTGGTAGTTGGCCAGGGTTGGCCACACTTCCTCATCTGCCCAAGGTTCCCTTTTCCTTGGAAGAGTTATCCAACTGGTGCTATCCACTTTCTCTCTGCTTGGATGGGCAGCCCAGCTTCTCCCTTGACCCTGCTTCTCCTCCCAACATCGGGCTGAGCCACACACCTGCCCTGCTCCCAAATTCTTCCAATTTTTGGGTTCCCTCTCCCAGTGACCACCCAACCTCTGGAAACCTTTGCTTCCTGCTCTCCCCCTTGTCCTAGGCTTGGTGGTGGATCTCCTCCCCATTTTCCCAGCTCACCCCCAAAAAAAACCCTGCACCAACAGCCTCCAAAATGGGAATACTCCCTTTTATCCCATATTTCTCCCCAAATCTTGACACCTGGGTGGTGGAGATTCCCCAGGAATCGCTGGGTTTATCCTTCGAACCTGCCACTGCCCCACCAGGCCCCGTCCACCTCACCTTCCACCGTACTCCTGGGTGAGAAACCCAACTGTAAGGACAAACATTGAGGTGTCTCCCATGGATGGAAGGTGAGGAGATGCTGGTGGAGCTGGACCTCAGCACCAGGGTTGGTCCCCATGGCGGTGAGAAGTCCATGATGGGAAAATCAACGGGGGCTTGGTGGGGGGATTTGCAGATCCTGGGTAAAATAATACTCATGGGAGGGAGAAGAGCTGCAGGACAGGCCAAGGTGACACGCAGGGTCTTCTGTATCCCCAGCCCCGCTTTGAAGCCGAATTCTCCGAGATCCTTCTCTGCAAGAACGAGCTCCATGAGACGCTGAACAACCTGTCCCACTGGATGAAGGACGAGCACGTGGACAAGAACATGGTACGGGGGGAGATGGGAGAACCGTAGAATCATGGAATCATCCAGGTTGGAAGGGACCTTTCAGATCATCGAGTCCAACCATCAACGCAACACTGCCCAAACCACCACTAACCCATGTTCCTCAGCACCATGTCTGCCTGGCTTTTAGATACCTCCAGGGATGGGGACCCCACCACTTCCCTTTGGAGTTCCAATGTCTGAGAACCTGTTTAGTGCAGAATTTTTTCCCAATATCCATCCTAAACCTCCCCTGGTGCAACTTGAAGACATTTCCTCTTGTCCCATCACCTGTTCCTTGGGAGAAGAGACCGACCCCTCCCTGGCTACACCCTCCTTTCAGGGAGTTGGAGAGAGCAATAAGGTCTCCCCTCAGCCTCCTCTTCTCCAGGCTGAACACCCCCAGCTCCCTCAGCTGCTCTTCAAAGGACTTGTTCTCCAGAGGGAAAGGATGGGGGGATGAAGGAGATGAGGGAGAGGATGAGGGGAAGGACCAGGGCAGAGGTGGGTGGGATGTGGGTATGGAGATGATGGTGCAATGAAGCACTCTTGATGTGGTGGGTGTCCTGCAGGCAACCCGACTGGACTCGGCCTTCATCCGCAAGGACCCCTATGGGGTGGTGCTCATCATCGCACCCTGGAACTACCCCATCAACCTCGTCCTGGTGCCCCTCATCGGGGCCATCGCTGCCGGTGAGCCCAACCTGTCCCCCGGCCCAGTGCCAGACACCATAGAGGGTACCTTGTCCCCAGGCCAGGGTGCCAGAAGGGCTGGCTGTCACCGTGTCACTTCTCTGACATCCTGTCCATCTCCCTTTAGGTAACTGTGTCATCGTCAAACCCTCGGAGATGACCAAGAACTCTGAGAAACTGGTGGCTGAAGCACTGCCCAGTTACCTGGACAAAGTAAGAAGCTCTCCTTGTCCTAATCCCTGCCCCATGGTCGTGGTGTCCCCAACCCTACCTTGCCCACACCATCCCCAGTCTCAGGTTCCTCCTTCCTCCATGGTGTCCACATGCCTGGCAGCCCGGGATGGTCTTGGTGGGGACAGGGAGAGAGTGGCCCAGGCAGATGGTGATGGGGTGGGACCCTTCCTCTTACCTTGCAGGACTGCTTTGCCGTGGTGACCGGCGGTGCGCAGGAGACTACCAGGCTGCTGGAGAACAAATTTGACTACATCTTCTACACCGGTACATCCCGTGGGCCAGAGAAAAAACCATGGAGGTTTTTGTGGAATGAGGAAGAGGGACTCCTACTGGAGATCCCACTGTGGCTCCCCCAACGTGAGATGATGGGCAGCTGCCTGCAAGCAGGACCCCTTCCCTGCCCTCTGAGCAGGCAGGGCTTGTGTTGGGGATGTGGTGTCAGGGTCTGTTGGAGGATCTGCCACCAAGGTGCCTGAGAATCTAATAGCCATAACTGGGTGTGTACTGGCTGAGCTGGGGGAGGCCACGGTTGAGCTGGAGAAGGTGGTGGAGAAGTGGGGCTTATAGAATCATTTTGGTTGGAAGAGACCTTTCAGATCATCGAGTCCAACCGTCAACCCAACACTGCCAGAGCCACCACTAAACCATGGCTCTCAGCTCCACATCTACATGTCTTATACATCTCACATGTATTTATACCTCCAGGGATGGTGATTCCACCACATCCCTGGGCAGCCTCTTCCAATGCTTGACTTGACATCTCTTCCCTGGCCCTGGCTCTTCATAAGGCTGAGGCCACGAGATGGGCTATGGCTGGTGGGATCCTCACCATGACCCATCTTTTCCTGCCCCACAGGCAGCCCCTCCGTGGGGAGGCTCATCATGATGGCAGCTGCCAAGCACCTCACGCCGGTGACGCTGGAGTTGGGGGGCAAGAACCCCTGCTACGTCTCTGACACCTGCGACGTGCAGAACGTGGCCCAACCACATCCCTGGGCAGCCTCTTCCAATGCTTGACTTGACATCTCTTCCCTGGCCCTGGCTCTTCATAAGGCTGAGGCCACGAGATGGGCTATGGCTGGTGGGATCCTCACCATGACCCATCTTTTCCTGCCCCACAGGCAGCCCCTCCGTGGGGAGGCTCATCATGATGGCAGCTGCCAAGCACCTCACGCCGGTGACGCTGGAGTTGGGGGGCAAGAACCCCTGCTACGTCTCTGACACCTGCGACGTGCAGAACGTGGCCCAACGGGTGGCCTGGGGACGCTTCTTCAACGCGGGACAGACCTGCATCGCCCCCGACTACGTCCTCTGCAGCCTGGAGATGCAGGAGAAGCTGCTGGTGGCCCTGAGCAAAGCCGTCAATGATTTTTATGGCTCCAACCCTCAGGAGTCCCCCAACTTTGGCCGCATCGTGGGGGACAAGCAGTTCCAGCGGCTGCAGGAGATGCTCGACAGCGGGCAAGTGGTCATCGGAGGAGAGACGGACGAGGCCCAGCGCTATATCGGTGAGGGCATGAACTTTGCAGAAGTCTTCATCCTTGCACAGGGTGGGCTTGAATTTTGGAGAGGGCCTCCCAACTCTGGGGGGAGGTTTCTGGATGGAAGTGACCTCGATGGAAGGTTTTCAGGGGGAATCGGGGAGCTTGGCGAGGCGACCTGGCTTAGAGGAGGTGTGGGGCTTGGGGAGAGGACCAATGTGTCACCTTCAACCTCTTGTGCGTGGGGTTTCTTTCTTGGCAGCTCCCACGGTGCTGGTGGACGTGCAGCCCTCTGACCCTATCATGCAGGAGGAGATCTTTGGCCCCATCCTGCCCATTATCACCGTGGCCAACGTGGACGAAGCCATTGACTTCATCAATAGCCGCGAGCGGCCGCTGGTTGTGTATGCCTTCTCCTCCAACAGCAAGGTAGAGCCCACAGGCTGCCTGAAGCCAGGGCTACGCTGGCCCCGAGCTCCTTGGCAGGTGTTTTCAGCCACGTTCATTCTCCAAAAACCTTCTTTAGGGCAGGCAGCCCCGGTTGTGAGGGAGGGATTGCAGCTGGAGGTGTGGGAACACGGCGTGAGACCCACGTCCACCTCCTCTGCTTCCATCCCAGGTGGTCAACCAGGTCCTGGAGAGGACCAGCAGCGGTGGCTTCTGTGGCAACGACACCCTGATGCACGTGACGTTGACTTCACTGCCCTTTGGTGGCATCGGTAGGTCCAAAGCCCCCAATCTACTTGCCCCCTGGGCCAGTGTGATCCTCCCCACGGTGCCCAAGCCGTGCTGACCATGGGGAGGAAGGATCTCAGGGGAGATGGAGCACCCAAACCTGAGCCCCCAGGTCCTGGGGGCTCAGTGGTCCGTGGGGAAATCCTTCTGCATCAGATGGAATCCCACCAGAAGCCCTTGGCTTCTCTGAACTGTGGCTGAGCTCTCGGGCTTTGCAGTCCTGTGTCTGTTGGACACGTGTTGAGCACCGTGAAGTTCTTTCTCTCTGTGTTGGCCATCCCAACCACAGTTCCCTGGGGATGTGGAGGATGTCTTGCTCCAGAGGCAGGAAATTTTGAATGTGGCCACCACAGAAACATCTCTAGACCTTCCTTTCCGCGTGCAGTGCCTCTGGAGGGTGCCAGCAGCCAGCCTGTCTCCATCCTGCTGCTCTGTAGGAGAAAAGGTGGAAATTGTCGTTTATCCACAGTTTTCAGGCACTTAGAATTTCAGTTTTTCATGGATCTCCATTTCGGACTCCCAAATGTAGACACATTCCCTTGTATAAACTCCCAAAGACCTATATTGCATAAACCCCTTGAGGAACCAAGAGCAGAGGGCCCAGATGAGGCTTAAAAACTTGAGAAGCCCTTGCCATTGTCCCATCTCAGAACCTGCACACGACCCGAGGGTGCTGTTTTTAAGGCAAATTGATTTACACGTGCCATCTCGCGTGGTCCTTCCTGCTGCTTCCCACAAAGCCTTTGCAAACCAGCAGACCCTGAGAAAGGTCTACATTTCACTCTGAACCTTTCACCAAGGTTTCCCACTGGAGAAAGGCAGCCAAGGAGGCCGTGGCTCCTCTTCCTGCAGGGTGAGAATCTTCTCCCTATCTACAGCGGCCACCGGCAAGGATTCCCAGCGACGTGAAGGAAGGAAATTAGGGCCACCCAGGGAAGTGGTTGAGTCACCACCCCTGGAGGTACTTAAAAGCTGTGTAGACGTGGTGCTGAGGGAGGAGTGGACTTGGCAGCGTTGGCTTTAGACTCCATGATCTCCAAGGTCTTTTCTAACCTCTTCCAACACCTCTGGTGTCAGCTCTAAGTCGTGGCATCTCCTGTCTGAGGTGATGTGTGTGATTCTGAGCTCCCATGGGATGTTTCCTATCCAGAGCATCAGCTGGAAAACCATCCTTTCGTTCTTTTAAAGACCTTGGAACACAGCTGTGTCTGGTTCTGCATCCTCCCACTACAACACCAGGCAGATGCTTGAGTAGGAACAGGGCAAGCGTGCACCATATTCCTTCCTGAAAGCCTTCCAGCTTCCATCCCTTTCCAGTTCAGGTGATTTTCCAAGCCAGAAGGGTCCCAGATGTCCAGTAAAAGGTGCTGGACTCCATACATTCCAGGCTCTCCTTGATTCCAGGAAAACCTTTAGTCACAATGGTACCCCTGTGACACAGTATTTCATGGCTCACAGGCAGAAACAGCACTTTGGGGCTGTGTTTCTTCTGGATGTTGACTTGGGCTGAAAAAAACCCGTGTCCAGAAGTGCTTCTCTCTCCCCTGGGAGAGGAAGGAGCGATGGAGGCTTCCACTTTTGATCAGACGATCTCCACAAGCATGGAAAACCCGCTCCTGTCCTCCACCCGAGACTCGGTTGGCCAAGAGACATCCAGTGACCTCTGTTCATTCTGGGGCTGCTGACGCCATGAGATACCAAACGTTGACTCATCAACTTGACCTGGACTTCCATTTTATCAGGAAAACCGACCGGCTGGAGCTGACTGGCAGAATTTTATCACATCAGTTATCAGCCCAGGGAGGGATTTCCTTATTTGCTACCAGCTCTTGGCCACCCTTCCCCTCCCAACTGTCATTTCACCCATCCTTGGAGACGGGTCACACCCTCACAGGGTAGGGACACTTGGATGGTGGGAACATCTCGCAGCTGCTGCCCTTTCCAACACCACATCCTCAGTGATGCCCTTCCCAGTAGATTTCATGATCAAAAAAGGAGGTTTTTCCGTTGTGTTGGGGTTTTTTGTTTTTTTTTAATCACTAAAGTCTTCAGATTCAGAGCAAAAAGAAAACAGGAAGTTGAGCGGCGATGCAGGAAGCACCTGCGAAAGAAGAGTTGATGATCTAAAAACAAGACTATTTTTTCTTTGCTGAGCGTTTTTAGGTGCTTAAGCACCCATGGAAGATGGGGACACATCTCCCAGCATCCTCAAGGGCACCCGTTAAACAAGTTGGAGCTGTTTCAGGCTGGTTTAAAGCACCGTTTCCTCCCTGGAGGGTGAAGGTTGGAAGCTCTCGCTGCCTCTTCTCTGCCACGACACCTTTCCTGGTCCCCCCTCTCCCTCCTGTTGGGAAGATGACATTTTTCTCGAGCTGGGTTCAACGTGGTGAGCTTTGCACCAGGGCCACACGTGTTACCTGAAAGGATGACATCCCGACTGATGAGAGGGTTGTCAGGAACCTTTCTTCCTCCCAGCCCAGTCTTCCTCCTCCAAACACCCCTCAATCCCCATTTGGGTGTCCATCTAGGCCACCTCCACGGTCTTCTTTAGATCATTTTCCGGGAAAACTTGGCCATGGCCAACTTTTTCCACCAACCCTGGTGTTAGAAAGCAGCTGGATGAAGATGTGGTGCCATCCACAGACACAGAGTCTCTATTGCTTCCTCCAGGGGAAGCTGGCAGCTTCGTTTTGGGCTCGTTGGCCCTGAAACGGTGGGTGAGTGATGGCCAGATCCTGCCACCAACCAGGGGGACCTGTGCTTGGTGTGTTGCAGGGAGCAGCGGGCTGGGGATGGATCCTGCCACCAACCAGGGGGACCTGTGCTGTGTGTTGCAGGGAGCAGCGGGCTGGGAATGTACCACGGCAAGTTCACCTTCGATACCTTCAGCCACCACCGGGGCTGCCTGCACCGCAACTTGGGCCTGGAGGCCTTCAACGCCCTGCGCTACCCACCCTACACCCAGCAGAAGCTGGGGATGGTCCGGGCCGCCTCGGAGGTGAAGCGCAAGGGTGGCTGCACCCTGCTCTGAGGGGCTCCTGCCACCCGTCATGGTGGCCACATGCAATGAAAGGTGGTTCCTTGCAACTGGTGGCCTCCTGTGTGCTTCCCTTTGGCTTCTCTGCCTGCCCCACATCTCCACGTGCAGGTCCCACAGACACCTTGATGGCTTGGTGGGTTCCACCCACACCGGGTGCCATCAGCCCCCTGCTCCATCACTGCTGGTCCCACCACAGCGGAGGGGTGGAAGGGCTCCAGGGTGATGCTGGTGGTCACCTCCCACCTTGAGGACCTTCCCCTGAGGAGATCCACACCAACGTTGTCCTCCCAAATCCTTGAGCTGGGATGATCCCAGTTTCCTCTGCCCCATGCCCTCCCGTATCTCTCATGGGATCTCGTGATCTCCTCAATAGTGCAAAAGAGACCTTGGAGCAAGCACAAACCAGGAGGAGAGGGACAGGTAAGGTGCCAGCAGGTACAGGAGGTCTTCTCCTGCAGCTTTTTGCGGTGTGCTGTCCTCTGGAGCCCCTCTCTCTTCTGTCCTGGTTGCTTTGGCTCCATCCTGGTGGGTTTCTGGGCTCTGTTGCTCCATCCCAGCTGCTCCTCCTCTCCTCCAGGCCCACTACTGCCACCCTGTGCTTCAAAACTGGAGAAACCAAGTCAAACCCAGCCTGCTGCTCCTCAAGAACAAAAACCTGTTGGACATGTCCCACCTAGCGTGGTGCACCGTCCCTGGGGAGCAGAGGAACATGTCAGCATGCTCTATCCTCAGCTTGGGGGGCTGGTTGTGCTGGGGAAAAAGGTTCCCCCACCTGCTGCAGGGGTTGAAGGGAATGGGGTGGCTTTGGCTGTAGAGCAGCTCCCTCTGGCTGCAGAGGAATGGGATGGATTCGCTCTGGGGAAGCCTTTGCTGAGAGCAATTTGGGGCCCGTGATCCCATCTCCACCTCCGGAGCCGTAACCATGTCTGGTGTAGCCAAAGCTCCTGAGATACCATGTCTTCAACCACAACCTTCTACTGCTGGCCTGTGACAAGGGTGGGATACCAGAGGGGTGGCTGTCCCACTTGTCCACGCTACAAGCCACAGGTTGATTGCCCCAGAAGACACCATCACGTCTCTGCTCTGCTCTATGTGAAACTGGTGGTGCCTCCATCTCTGGAGACCTCAGCACAGAGGCCGTTAGATGCGGGCAACCACAGATCTCCTCAAGCCCAGCGAGCGCGGCGAGGAGAACGCTTTCGGTTTTGAGAGCAGGAAGCCACATGGAGCAGAGACACAGCGCTGCCCCACAGATTTGTGTTTTTAAGACACTGAGAGCTCGTGTTCCCGTTAAGCCCCCCACATCCTGGAGAAGGGCAACCTGGTCTAGTTGAGGGTGTCCCTGCTGACTGCAGGGAGGTCGCACTAGGTGACCTTCAGAGGTCCCCTCCGGCCTGGACCATTCTATGTTTCTATGGAGATGCTGGGAGGGCTGGAGCCCCTCGGCTGGGAGGACGGGCTGAGAGAGTTGGGGGGTTCAGCCTGGAGAAGAGAAGGCTCCGGGGAGACCTTCCAGCCCCTTCCAGTCCCTCCAGGGGCTCCAGGAAAGCTGGGGAGGGACTCTGGATGAGGGAGGGGAGCCCTAGGAGGAGGGGGAAGGGTTTGACCCTGAAAGAGGGGAGATGGAGCTGAGCTGTGGGGAAGAACTTGTTTGGTGTGAGGGTGGTGAGAGCCTGGCCCAGGTTGCCCCGAGAAGCTGTGGCTGCCCCATCCCTGGAGGGGTTCAAGGGCAGGTTGGAGGGGGCTTGAAGCAACCTGGTCTGGTGGGAGGTGTCCCCCTGTGATGGAACTGGATGATCTGTAAGGTCCCTTCCAACCCAAACCATTCTATGGTCTTGCCATGGCTGCCAGGAGACTCTGGGCTGAACCCTGTGAGGACAACCATCATGGGGTGGCCATGATGACCTCCCGTGTGTCCCCCAGCCGCCCTTTGAAGCTGGGGGTCTCCAAGATCTCCGTTTGCTGGAGCGAACTCAACCACACGCTCAACAACGTGAGCACCTTGATGAAGGACAAGCACATGGAGAAGAACTGGGTAGGGGGCAATGGACAGCAGGGATGTGTGGGGTGGGACTCAGGTGTCCCTCACACCATCCTTCCACGGCAGGTGATGCAGCTAGACTCAGCCTTCATCCGCAAGCACTCATTGTTGAGAGATATTAGTTATTTAGCTTAAATAAGTAAGTTTTAATTAGAATAAATTACTTAGGGTTACAATACGATGTGGTTTATGCTCTTTGCTGAGCTTTACTTCACATGAGGAGGGCTCTAAGCAGGGTTGAGGGGTCCCCAGGACATGGTCCATCCCTGGAGGGGTTCAAGGCCAGGATGGATGGGGCTTGGAGCAACCTGGTGTGGTGGGAGGTGTCCCTGCCCAGGGCAGGGGGTTGGAACTCGATAATCTTTAAGGTCCCTTCCAACTCTAACCATTCCATGACTCTATGGTTGGTGACAGGGCCAGGCAGCCCAAGCTTGGCTCTCTCCCCACAGCCCCCCAACGCCGGGGGACGTGCAGCAGCGGGACAACCCACCATGGTGGAGAAGGACATCTTCAGGCCCACCCTCAACCTCATCACCATCACTAAGGCCCAGGAGCCAGCCCTCCACGGCGTCTCCTCCTGCAAGAAGGTGAGGAGCTGGGGTGGGAGCAGCATCCCCCTCAGCCTGGGTCCCATCCCGGCTCTGGACAGTCCCCGGGGGCTGCTCCTGAGGCCTTGTCCCTGGTCACGGGTGGAGAAAGCCCCCACGTCCCCCCCCAGGCACGTCCCGGTGTGCCCCTGGTAGCACGGAGGAGGGTGTCCGGTGGGTGCTCACCCCCTCCCGGTTCGGCCATCACCCCCCCACACACAGCGGGTCCCTGTTCCTTGGGGCTGAGCCCCCGGTGCTGGGCCTGAGCCCCTCCCCAGAGCCTCCCGGCCTACACCCGGTACCGAGGCCGGCCCTCCCGGCCTTAGGGCCTGTACCGGGGCTCAGAGCTCGGACTCTCCTGCCCCTGGAGTCCCGGTTCCTGCCGTGAGCTCCCCCGGGGGCGGTGCCAGGCCCTGAGGCCCGGCGCCCCGCCAGGCGCAGCTACCGCTACCGCTACCGCTACCGGTACCGGTACCGGTACCGGTACCGGTACCGGTACCGGTACCGCCACCGCGCACCGCCGCACCCCCCCTCCTTCCGCTTCCACCTTCCCTTGAGGATCCGCCCCTCCGTCTCACGCCTGACCAATAGCCGCGC